TCCATAATGCTGGACAACTTCTACTTTTGACCTCCAAAATCCCGCTACACATTTATGAGTTTTCGTCAGTCCCCAGGGAGGAGATTCCTTGATTAAAATGCAAATGTGCTTTCTTAACTCCAGAAGTTGCAGGTTTCTTTATTTGGTCTTCCATAGCTCAAACAAAACAAAAACAAAATGAAAAGTGCATTAAAGGCACAACTTTTAGCACATTGCTAGGAACATAGGAAGAATTGGGCTAAAGATAGTTAATTGGTAAAACATATATGCAAAGAAGTGTTCTAACTATGTAACTGGGAATGCTGTTTCAGAGACCACCCTCATGTACTCAGAGATTTCAAAACCCAACACTCAGAAAAGTTTATTTCAAAAAGTTTGTCATGTTGAGGAGTCTATAGCTAGCATTTTATGTTTTAATTTTGAAGTTTCTCATTTATAAGGAATCGTTCATATTTTCTCCAGAGAGCATAAAGTATTTTTGTTACTTTCAATCCCACATCAAATTGATTTTATTCTTGACACTGCAACCGTAATTGCAACTAGAACATTGAGGATCACAATGGGATAGGAGTATTTCACTAGAGCATTTCATAGTCACCAGATAATGTCACATATGTACCTTGTATTTCTGAGAATTCATTCCACAGAATCATCTTATGGATTGCTAATTTCATAATAAACTAAAGCCGCTGATTTACCTAAGAGAAAACATACAAGCAACATGTATAATTATATTTGAATCAATAGCTGCTAGGCCTACTAAAATCTTCCCCCTGACTCACATCGAAGACACACACTATATCACTAGGTTTCTGCAACTAAAAGAAGATTCTTCTAAATGCGTACAATCTAATAATCAGTCATCTTACTTTCATGTCTTTCTACAGTGAGGTTTCACAAAAAAACGTTTTAGAAACGTTTATGTTAAAATTTGTCGGTTACTGAAAATGCTGACAAAATCCAATGTAGACTGTGTCAGAAACTCCTCAAAGACCCAAAGAAACATAAAAGCATGCAAAGTCCATTAGAACTGCATTAAATGTGTCCACAGAAGCTCGAAATAAGCATGACATGCTGCCTTAATTGAAAAAAAAAAACCTGGCATAAATTTCAGAAGATTTGAGTGATCTAGAAATGATTATAACCTCTCACCATCTGTCTCTTCTAATATCTCCATTCCTAAATTCTGTTCTGTTTTTCTCATGACAGCCCCAAAGTAGAGAGCCTGCTTCGAAGGTTATCAGTTATTTCCCCAACCCTGTATGGCAGACTTCCCTACTACTAAAATAGCAATAAAAAATAACTCTTGCCTACCAATTACTGAGATGGTTATAGAATCTCCTATTGGACCATCCTCTAGTTAAATGTTTAAAACTCAATTAAAATGCAAATTAACAGTAGACAATGCAGCAGTTATGGCTACAGCATGACAAGAGAAAAAAGTCAGCTCCATAAAAGAATGCAAATTTTTGGAACTGTAATTAAATGTGTAGTTATTTCCATTTTCAGAACTTTTTATGGCCTGAAAAGGATGAGAAAACCCCAGCTAAAATAGTGTTTCCAATTCATCCAAAAAAATGTCACTTTAGAGAGACCACAATTTTGGCATTACATCTTTTAATTTAATGCCACTGAATTTACTTTTAGGTGTGTTAATGTACCGAAACTCTCTGAATTCTTTTGGGAAAAATGAATAGCACTTGGTATAGTAATTTACTAATGAAGAAGAAACATGTCTCTTAATATGTTTACAGATGATCGTTGAATCATAAAGTGACCTGTATCTGCCCGTCTCATATGTATGAGTCAGATGATATCTATTAGTGACTTTAGTAAAACACACTGCATAGAGAACTTATGCTTATTTTATCTGGCTGGCCATTTCACAGGACAGTGGCCCAGGGACAGGTGGGGTGGAAGGAAGTGAAATATAAACCAGAGAAGACCAGGGGTGCCTGGGTGGCTCAGTTGGTTGAGCATTTGACTCCTGATCTTCGCTTGAGTCTTAATCTCTGGGTCGTGAGTTCAAACCCCACATTGGGCTCCACATTGGCCATGGAGCCTACTTTAAAAAAAAAAGAGAGAAAGAGAGAGAGAGGGAGGAATTGGGAGAGGGAGAGAGAGAGAGAGAGAGAGAGAGAGAGAGAGAGAGAGAGAGAGAGAGAGAGAGAGAAAGCCAAAAGCAATAAGAATATAAAGGAAGGACAAAGTACCAGAGGGAATCATATGAGAAGCAGATAATTATAAATCATAACAGAATGGAGACTGAATCACATTCTGAAGAATTCAAGGAGACAAGTATGAGCAAGGAAAAGAAGAGATTGACGACTGGTGATTATTAAGAAATAACACACCTAATAAGAAATGACTGTGGAAGAGCAGAAAAAATTAATGGTTTGTCAAAACAGAATAACCCATATTTGAAAAAAGCTATACATTCACATGCAAAAGTATACATATAGAATGACTAATGGGAGAGTATATAGACACAAACCAAAGACATAATGATTTATTTAAAATGTTATTTCTCCCTATGTATTCATGGTTACAAAAAAAGAAAGCACAGACTAACAACACAAACAGAAAAATAATAAGTGCTGTAACTTAAGGAAAGAGGCCTGAATGTTTGCTAAAGAACAAAATGTTCCACACTGTCTTGAAGGGATGTGAGGAAGAATCAGAAATTGTTAGCATCCTGTTGCTGGGTCTCCCGCTGGTCCAAAGAGCAGCATCTTTAATGAGCAATGACCTGGGTACTGACTCAACATCTTGACATGGCCACAAACCATCTTGACATTGCCAACCTCCATTAGAGTCTAGTAATATTGGTTCCAGTCTTGTATATTTTCAGGGAAGGAGGAAACACGTTAATCATCTGCTTTCTTCAGCTGTAGTTTAAAGCAATGACAGTCCAAAAATAAAAGCCAACTATATGCCACTGATTAATTATCAAACTACTCATGCGATCTCCTATTCAGGTAATATCAGTGTAAGATTTCAATTGCCCATGGAGTTCTTTGCACAAAATAATCAGTGTCAAAGATTATCACTTGATTCCATAGAAAAATTTATTTCTCTGAATTAAAAACAAAAAATAGAATTAAAAATACCTATACACAAAAAAACTGTTATGAGAGATAAGAATAAAATCCTTAGACAAAGAAGAGATCATGCTAATCATTAAGAAAATCCTAAAACCCTGAAAGACAAAGGCATGAACATCAGGTTTCTAAATTTCATCCTCATAAGTCATCTAAGACATGCAAACTAAAGCAATCATCTCCATCTAAAATCACAAAACCAGAGATAATAGTAAGTTTGGCAAGTGGACAATGAGACAAGCATACCTATATATCTCTACTGATAGAAAACTGCCATTTTGGAAAGCAATTTGGAAGAGTGTTTGACCTGGCAGTTTCACAGCTGGGAATCTATTCTAAGGGAATATTCCAAAATGCAGATAAAAATGTTTGCACACAGATTTTCCCTAAAGAAATGTATATTATATAAGTGTCCAACAGTGAAAGAATGATTAATTATGATATGCTCCTATTGCACAGACAGCATTTTTAGCTATGCAGGAAAACATTTCAATAAATGCTAAGTAGAATAACAGGATTCAACATTTTACATTAGGTAGGCATCACACACATGGTGTGTGTTCAGGTCTCTACCCACCCACACACACACATAGAAAATCACATATTGACATATTGAAGTAACAATCTCTATAAAGACATATCATTTTTCTTTTTTTTGACATATTTTTTCATATCATCTTTTCATCTCTTCATCATTCAAGGAATAAAATTTTCTCAGGAAAGCTGTTGAACTATTCCTTCAGCTACCCTAGTTGAAGAGTGATTAAAAAGATTCCTGAACATTGACTACCACTTGACATTGATTTTTTTCTTAAAATATTAAGCAGACAAATGGAATTCCTGCACTCATTTTTAGTATGTAATTATATGACAATATGTTTATGTGATGCTTTGGAAAAGGCAGTAATAAATCCAAATACAAAATCACAACAGAAGAGTTTTCCAAGATAAAAGAAAAAAAATGTCAACATTTGGAGAATTATTAAAATTGAGGAATGTGATTTTAATTAAATTATATCTAATTCTGCCTCTTTTCTAAGTCAATTTCTAACTTTGAAAATATAACTCTAAGTAGTTCTATTAAAATGGACTTCTTGAGGTCAAATGGTATCTTTTTAAAATTTTAGTTGTTTAGAAATATTATAATCTGTACAATTATAATTTATCACATTTATTAGTTTTTATTCTTTGATGCTACCTACATTTCCTCATTTTTATATTTATCCTCAACAATTGTTTTAAACATAAAAAGCTAAATTCAGAGCCAGGTGACTATTTCCATTTGATTAAAAAAGACCCTGATCTCTAGGGCACCTGGTGGCTCTTGATTTCAGCTCAGGTCATGATCCTGAGATCATGAAATAGATTCACACTTTGGGCTCCTAGCTGAGCATGAAGTCTGCCAGGGATTCTCTTTTCCCTCTCTCTCTGCCCCTCCCCGCTTTTACTTTCTGTCACTCTCTCTTAAAAAAAAAAAAGCCCTGATTGAGTAATAGGTGCCTTAATAAATATGGACTGAAGGGCAGTCTGGGTGACTCAGCGGTTTACTGCTGCCTTCAGCCCAGGGCATGATCCTGGAGACCCAGGATCGAGTCCCATGTCGGGCTCCCTGCATGGAGCCTGCTTCTCCCTCTGCCTTTGTCTCTGCCTCTCTCTCTCTCCCTCCTCTCTGTGTATTCTCATGAATATATAAAATCTTTAAAAATAAATCAATAAATAAGGACTGAAATGTTAAAAATACTACATAATTTTTGGTTCTTAAACAATGAAGAACTCAAATGTTTCTACCATTATTTTCAATGTTCTAAATGTTCTCAATGTTTCTAGCATTACTTCAGAGTTAAGGCAAATTATCAAAAGCTGAAATTTGTTCAAATATTTTTCTAGGAAAATTTGAAACAGAGCAAAGAAGAATACACTTTTATACATGTTGTCCTTGCACAGGGGCCATGCTAACCTTCTCTATATCATTCCAACTTTAATATATGCTGCCAAAGCGAGCGTGGCTACACTTCTATAAAATGAGGAGTATTCTTATCTCCAATGCAGCTGTTAACATTTTTAAATGTTCAAGTAAATGACAATGCAAAATAGACTCATAAATCCCGATAGTGTAATTGTGCCATATAGGAACACCGATGTAACTCACATTGTCCTGACAACATACAACATTTTCATCTCCTTAGAACGTTCTCTCAAGTCTCATTCCATCTATCTTACTTCACAGAGGCAATTATCATTTTTTTTAAAGTTACATTGGTTTTGGTCTAGAACTTCCTGAAAATGACGTAAGATGTATTGGTTCTTTTGCTCAGCATTGTATAAGACTCATCCATGTTGTTTTGAGTATCAATAGCTCATTCATTTTTACCGCTGAGTAGTACTCCATTGTACAACTATACCAAAATGGGTTTATTCATTTTCCTGTTGATAAATGTGTGAGCTGATTCCGGTTCAGGGCTATAATGAATAAAACTGCTACAATCAATCTTAACAAGTCATTCTTACACATGAATTTGTATTTCTTCTGGGTAAACTTTAATCTTAAGCACAGACCTCTTTCCAAATTAGTTTTACCATTTAATATCTGTACCAGCAATGTAGGAGAGAGAGTTCAGTGGCTCTAATCTTCACCAACATTTGGGTTTGATATTTTTAATTGTGGCCATGCTAGTGGGTGTATAATATTATTTCAATATCCTTATAAATACATTTCCTTGAAGGTTAAAAATATTAAGCACTCTTTACTGTGTTCACTGACCATTCATATATGTATCTCTGTAAAGTGTTCATTGACATACTTTGAAAATTTTTATCTTTTTCTTATTGAGTACAGAGTTCTTTTTTATGTAACAATGATCTGATGCTTTGTCAGACATACTTTACAAATATTTTCAGTTTTTTGGTATGCTTACTCATTTACTTAATTTTGTATTTAATGATCAGTCTAATACATCAATTTTATGGTCATTATTTTCTAATATATCAATTTTATGGTTATTATTTTCTGCATCTTATTAAAGAAATATTGGCCTACTCTTGTCTTAGTTCAGGTTGGTCTAACAAAATACCAGAGAATGAGTAGCTTATAAACAACAGAAATTTCTCACTGTTCTAGAGGTGGGTAAGTACGAGATGAAAGTGCTAGAAGATTGAGTGTCCAGTGAGGGTCTGCTTCCTTTTCATAGGCAGCTATCTCTTGGCTGTGTTCTCACACATGACAGAAGAGGAGAATTATGGTCTCTTCAGCCTCTTAGAATGGCACTAATCCCGTTTATGATGGCTCCACCTTCAGGACCTAATCTCCCAAGGGCCGAACCTCCTAAAACCATTACATTTAGGGTTATATTTTAATATATGAATTTTTGGAGGACACAAACATACTACCCGTCTTGACCACCAATTTGAAAAATATTATCCTACATTTTCTTCTAGTGTTTCTTCTTACATCTGTGACTATGAATTAATTTTTGTTTATGACTTGAAGTAGGAGTGAAGATTCATTTTTTTTCCCATATGCATATACAATTGTCCCAAGACTGTCTGTAAATAACACTTTGCATTCCCTCTGTTAACTGTTTTGATATCTTGAAAAAATCAATTTATTATATAAATATGTCTATTTCTGAATTATATTCTGTTCTCTTTACATGTCTATACCTTCATCAGAATCTCACCATCTTAATCACTATACTTTTATATAAAGTCTAGAGTCAAGTAGAACTTTTTCAAGATTATTTTAACTACTCTAGATTCTTTCCTTTTTCATATAAATTTCAAGATAAGCTTGTCAATTCTAATGACATAAAAGCCTCCTGAGATGAAAATTAAGATTTCAATCCAGAGATTAATTCAGGGAAAACTGACATTTAACAATACTGAGTCCTCCAATCCACAAACATGGTATTTCTGTCCATTTATTTAGGTCTGCTTTCATTTCTCTCAGTAATACCTTGTAGTTTTCTGTGTAGAGTTTCTGCTCATGTTTTATTGAATTTACTTCTAAATATTTTATTTTTCGATGCTACTATAAATGGAATTTTAAATTTTTACTTACAACTGTATATTGCAAGTATTTATAAATAAAATGAATTCAGACAGACTTGAATTCTGAAACCCCCCTCACTTATCAGTTCAAGTCACTTCCTCTGAAATTATTCCTTATGATTACCGATGTGCATTTTCCTGTCACCCATGAATAAAGAGCACTTTATTTTTTTTCCTTTCCAAACTATGCCTTTTAATTCTCTTCTCGCAAAGTTGCACTGGCTAGGAGCTCTAGTGAAATAGCGAACAGAAAGAAATAAGACGAAAGCTATTGTTGTGTTCCTAGTCTTAGGGGGAGAACACTCTTTCACCTTTAAGTACAATGTTATCTATAGGCTTGAACAATGTTTTCTGTTGTTGTTTAGAGAGGATTTTATCAAATATTCCTACAGATAATTCTTTATTGGGGTGCAGGTGTCCTGTCCTTTGGAGGATGTTAGTGGCATTCCTGGTTTCTACCAACTAGACAGTAGTAATACCGTCTCCTCATTGTCACAACCAAAAAATGCCTCCAAACATTTGTGCTGGGGTCAAAACTGCCCTTGTTTGAGAACCACTGAGTTAAACTGAGGCAGTAGGTAAGACATGGGAAAACGTAGTTCACTTCATCAGAGCAATCTTTAGTTAGCTCACAAAAGGATGCTTGTGTTTTCCGAACTGCATGCTCAGTTGCTTGAGTCCACTGTCTACTTATACCTGTCAGCCCATTAAGAGAGGATCTGACCATTATTCTAGTTGCTATGCCTATACAGAACCCCAACACTGAGCTTCAGGTCCCCCAAGATACGGCAGTATTTCCCTGGGGAGGGAGTATTCTTAGGCCTCCAGGCTTTCCAGGTCCCTCACAGATGGCAAAGAATGACAACAGTCTTATCTACCTCTCCATTGTTTATTTTTTTCTTGAAGAGTCAGAGCCAAGGCCTTGAGGAATTTTCTCACCTTCAATGAAAGTGATCATTCTTTAAAATGACTCAGTTAATTCGCTTTTTAAAGAGCCATATTCTCTTTCTCTTTCATTCTCTCACTCTCCTCTCCCTCTCTCCTTCTTTTTCTAGTGTCATAAATGCTTTTCAAATTTAACAAACTGTAACAAACTAGATGACCTGCACAGTGACCAATGTTTCCAATCTCTTTGATACATGCTATTGCAAAGGTCTGAGTGTCTCTGCCTCCCTCTGTCTCTCCTGAATAAACAGAATCTTAATAAAAAGAAAAAAAGGTAGTAAAAGCTACAGCATGGAGAAATAGAAATCTTTAGAGTTTTCTAAAATTCACTAGGAATTGAACTGGTTAACATAGATGGGGACACAGTACTCTATGAAACTTTAAGTGCCGTGAATGAAAAATAAGTAGTTAGATGGAAATTAACGTGTCTAGAAGCACAGCATAGGGTCCACATATGTTAGAAATCTGAACACTGTTTCAAATGCATCACCAAAATGATGTTTTTAACTACTCTGTCTTCTGGGAAAATTATTTTCCAGGAGATTGTACCTCCCATTGTGTAATGAAAATAAGGTTGCAATTATTGAAATACACCTCATAAGAAAGTTGCCGATATTATTCTATAACCAAGGTCAATAGGTTCACTTTCATATAGATGGCCAGAGCAGGATTAATTGTCAGAGAACTTCTATGCCGAGCCGCTTATGCAGAAAATGCCAATAATAAGATTCTATTGTGGAAATTTTAACACAATCTAGCTTCAATGTATGCTTAATTGGGCATATCCAGGGAAGACACATCTTCAAGATGTTCCACGTGTGAAGCCCACTCAATAGCAAATGGCTCATTTATATGGATGTGATTAACAAACTGCCAAGGCATTCAGCTATAAAGTAAGGTTTCCAGCCAGTTCAAATGTATATTCAAAATAACATACTCCTTAGAGTATCAAGCTCTTTCTGTATCTGAATTCCAGATAATCCCTCCCCTGCAAAAACTATGAATTCTTTATTTGGCCATGGTTTATATGTCACTGGACAATCTTTTGTTATCTTTCTTCAACAAACATCTACCAATAAAACACAAGCAAATTATAGGCAAAATCTCAATGAAGTGATTAGGTACCAAAAATTCATTTGCTTTCAATGTGTTATTTTTCCTTAATGTCTCCTGTTTATTACTAACTGCCTCCCAATCAACTAACATGAATGTGTTTATCTAAAAGGTCAGAGAACTTACCTTCATAGCCATTTAGAAGAAAAAAAAATCTTCCCACTTGTTCAAAAATGACATATAAATACATTCCTAAAGCAATTGCTAACAAATGTATTCCTCTCCAATTTGATTTTGAAAAAAAATACACAACTGAAAATTACACACAGAGAATACTTAAAATAAATCATAACTACAGAACAACAATTACTATATCTGGATATATAATTAGGTGACTAATTATTTTGAAAATGCAATTGCACACTCTAATAGATATTCAATAACCTCCACCATTATCCCTCCTACTCCAACCCCTCAACTTCTTCCTGTGTTTTTCATGTCAATTTTAACTCACATATCATCTTTTTCCTCTATTAAGAACAATTTGTTGAATGGTTTCATCTCTTTAATACATGCAATTCAATTACATCTTCTTGTTAATATATCTAACAGTGAAGATGACTTGTGCAAATTGTCTGACCCTTTTATCTTCTACCTGTGTGACCTTTGCAGTCAGTGGTATAAAGGAAATTCTTGTTCTCTAATTGTGTCATCTATCACAATAAGAAAAATATACCACAAAGATGGAAGACTAGGGAATATATTACAGTGGATTCAAAAACAATGCAACTCTGTTACATTTATCTGGGATTGAGGATGCCATGTAACATTTCTCCTTGGAGTACCAAAGAATCAGACCAGGGGAGTTGATAGAAGCTCAAAATGCAAGCGAGTGGGAAGTAGCTTAAATAAAGATTGTCAGAAATGGTAATTAAAATGGAAATTATGTCCACTAAA